AGGAGGCTGAGGTTTGAGGATCGTTTGAGCTTGGAGGGTCGAGGCTGCAGTGAGCAGTGATTGCACCACTGCACTCCAGCCTGGGCAACAGAGAGGCCTTGTATTAAAATAAAATAAAATAAAATAAAATAAAATAAAATAAAGGTGTGGCTGAGTTAGAATCTAGGCTCAGGTAATCATACGCAGTTTTGCATCCACATGAAAGTTGAGTGGGGCATTTGAAAGAGTTGTAAGACACTGTACAGTTCTCAGTTCTCCATTGTGTGGGTCTCCCTGTGCCTTGCAGGACATCTCCGTTACTCAATACCAGCAGCGTCGCCGCACATTCTCATTCTGCCCCCTAGAGGGTGCTGCTCCTCTTGTTGAGAACAACTGGACTAGAAGATAGAATTGCCAGCCGGCTTCTGTTTTGAGTCCTTGCATGAATTTTTTTTTTTTTTAATTTAAAATTTTATTTTATTTTTTAGACAGGGTCTCACTCTGTCGCCCAGGCTGGAGTGCAGTGTCGCGATCTCGGCTCACTGTAACTTCGACCTCCCAGGTTCACGCCATCCTCCCACCTCAGCCCCCCAAGTAGCTGGGAGCACAGGCGCGCGCCACCATGCCCCGCTAATTTTTGTATTTTTTGTAGAAACGGGGTTTCGCCATGTTTCCCATGCTGGTCTCAAACCCCTGAACTCGAGCGATCCACCCACCTCAGCCTCCAAAAGTGCTGGGACTGCAGGCGTGAGCTACCGCGTCCGGCCCCTTCATGAATTTTTATTGAATGAGACCTATCATAGGGTACTGTGTCATGGATCAAGAAGTCTTGTATGTTTCTACATTTGCTTCTTGTGCCTCCATTATTACCAACGTTAGAGACCTGTTTACCTCATATGATTTTATGAGAATTGCTGTCTTATAAAAGATTTTGAAACTCTAGAATGTAAAGGTGCAGCATAATTCATACATTTTAAATGGGTTAAAAATAGTTTCTACCACTTAGTTATCTTTTCGTATTTGTCATTTCGTTCTCAAATATGCCTTATGATTTTTAAATAATTTTTTACTTTCCTAGGGAAGAGTAATATGTGTTGCGGTCTGTTATTTCCAGTAGATGGCAATGTTTGGTGCAAAAAAATGACTATATAGCAATTGCAGATTGCCCTGTCTCTCTTTGTACTTAAAATTCAAACTTCATACTGCATATTTGAAAGTACTGCTCTTTTTTTTTAATGACTTGATATGAATTAACTCAGTTAAACCAATGGATAGGCTGGTAAAGAGGTGCATGTAATTCAAATTGTCACAAAATAACTCACATTTTACTGTTGCAAAAATACTTTTTTAAAGAAGGAGTTCCTAGAAAACTGCAACAGTATTTTAATAGATGGCTAAGTTCATTCGTGAAGTATTTACCTTTTGATTTATCAGTTCTATAAATTATTATTTTCTTATAGGTTTTTAAAAAATAATTGATTTTGAAACAGTTTCAGACTTACAGAAGAATTGCCAGAACAGTACAAAGAATTCCAGTAGTCCCTTTAGCCAGATATCCCAACTGTTAACATTGTACCTCATTTGCTTCATTGTTCATTCTTCTGTGTGGGTGTGTATTATCATTAGTCTTTCTCTGAATCTTTTGAGAGCTAGAGGTTGTCTAATCACCCCTAAACACTCCAGAGGGTACTTCCTCAAAACGAGGTCTCTCTCCTACCAGCATACAACCCTCCAAATCAGGAATCAATACTGTCCAATCCACATCCATCCATGCGGATTTTGCCAGCTGGTCAACAGTGTTACTCTTTCCCTTTCTGGTTCACAGTCCTATCCAGGATTATGGTTTTGGTCTCCTGCAATCTAGACTAAGTTCGTTAGTCTTTCATACCCTTGAAATTTTTAAAGGGTACAGACATTACATTCTGTATGATGACTATCATCTTGAGTCTTAAGGATGTTTCCTCATGACCAGATGCCTGCATTCTTGGTAGGAATACATGAGGAGGCACATGATGCTAACCTGTCCCGTCACTGGTAGTGTTAACGATGGTCATGTGCTCATCAGGATTTACCTCAAATCTATTGTAGGATTAAAGCCCAATTTAAAAAAGCTTTTTTCATGTTTTTATTTGTTTATTTATTTATTTTTGTTTAGGCTGGGTGCGGTGGCTCCCGCCTGTAATCCCAGCACTTTGGGAAGCTGAAGTGGGAGGATGGCTTGAGCCGGGAGTTCAAGACCAGCGCTGGCAACATGAAAATTATCTAAGAGTAGTGGTGGTGCATGGCTGTAGTCCCAGCTACTTGGGAGGCTGAGGTGGGAGGATCACTTGAGCCCGGGAAGTTGAGCCACTGCACTCCAGCCTGGGTGACAGAGCCAAGACCCTGTCACAAAAAAGAAAAATAAAAAGATAAAAAAAATTCGTAATAATTTTTTTCCAAATTTTTGTTTCTTTAATCTTTTTTTTTGGATTATTTTTCCTTCCTATAAAACTCATTTTAATTAAAATCTTTCATTTGGGTTTTTAGTTTTTTAAAAAAACAACATATAGTGACTTTCTTCATGTGCCCCAAACTTCATTTAAAAAAAAAAATCCAAAGATATTTCAAGCATAGCTTGGTCAATCTGTGCCTGTGTTTTTCTTTTGCTAAGATCATGCCATGGACTTGAGGGGTAATAACACTGCAATAATGGCTTAAGTATTTATTGGGGGTTATAATTTTTTTTTTTTTTTTTCTGAGACGGAGTTTCGCTCTTGTTGCCCAGGCTGGAGTGCAATGGCGCGATCTTGGCTCACCGCAACCTCTGCCTCCTGTGTTCAAGCTATTCTCCTGCCTCAGTCTCCTGAGTAGCTGGGATTGCGGGCATGCGCCACCATGCCTGGCTAATTTTGTACTTTTAGTAGAGACAGGGTTTCTCCATGTTGGTCAGGCTGGTCTTGAACTCCTGACCTCAGGTGATCCACCTGCCTTGGCCTCCCAAAGTGCTGGGATTACAGGCGTGAGCCACCGTGCGTGGCCGGGGATTATCATTTAAGATAATAATATTCCCTTCCTGTGTCCAAGTGATCTAATTGTTCAATTCCCACCTATGAGAGAGAACAGTACCCTAGAACATAAAGTATAATTTAAAAAAAGATAATAATATATTGGCAATATCTTAAAGCTCTTGACAAGTTGAATTTGATCACACATCAACAGAAACAACTTCATTCATAATTGTGTTTTCTTATGTTTTTTTCAGTACTGAAAACTACAACATAAAAGAAAATCTTTTTTTTTCTTAAAACAGGGTCTCACTCTGCCCAGGCTGGAGTGCAGTGGCACAGTCACAGCTCACTGCAGCCACAAACTCCCTGGCTCAGGTGATCCTCCCAACTCAGCTTCATGGCTGGCTAGGACAATAGGCACTCACCACCAAAATACTTAACATACAAAAAATGTAAAATATAAGAAATGGGCAGGGCGTGGTAACTTGTGCCTGTAATCCCAGCACTTTGGGAGCCTGAGGTAGACAAATTGCTTGCGCCCAGGAATTTAAGACCAGCCATGGCAACATAGCGAGATCTCATCTCCACAAAAAAACTAAAAAATTAGCTGGACATTGTGGCACATACCTGTGGTCCCAGGTACTTGAGAGGCTGAGGTGGGAGGATCACTTGAGCCGCGAAGTTGAGGCTGCAGCGAGCCGTGATTGTGCCACTGCACTCCAGCCTCGGTGACAGAGCAAGACTCTATCTCAAAACAACAACAACAACAACAACAACAACAACAAACCAAACAACAACAACAACAAAAAACAAATGATGGGTTAAGTAGTTGAACAAGGTTTTATAATCAAACAAAATACCCTAATAACAAACCTATTTGCAGAGGGTGGAGTTGGTGGGTTGCAGTGAAGCAAGTTGTCTTTTAGTTGAATTTAAGTAATAATATCAATAACATTTGTATATTTGTATATGGTGAAGACTTCAAACCAAATAGAAAAGATATAAGTAAATTTCTCCCTTCCTTTACCCTCCAATTCCTACTCTCTCCATCTAACAGTATAAGCATTATTTTTTCTTATTTATCCTTCCAGAAAAATATTTGTACCTACGAGATATGTATATCATATCCTTGGGAAAAAGTGGAATCTTGCCACACATACTTTTCACCTTTCTTTTTTCACTTAATGCTATTTCATAGACATATTGTCACTTATAGATGTACATCGTTCTTTTTAATGGTTGCATATTATTTGCACGGATTACCATAGTTTATTCTCATTGTGGTGGGCATATTTGGTTGTTTCTAGGTTTTTAAATTTACAAACAAAGCTACAGTGACTCTCATTATATATACCTTTGTGTACCTTTGTAGATGGAAATATGATCAGGACAAAAGGGACAAAATGAAATGAAGTATGGGGTGGATTTAGGGTTACAGAAAAGTAGTAGCAAAGAGATGCTATTATTGGTGAAGAGTAGCAAGCTAAAATTATTTCCTCCTAGTCTCTTTTAAATTAGGTAGAATTTAAAAGAATATTAGGAATATTAGGAAATGAATATTAGGACATGAAAATAAGAAGGCCAGGCACGGTGGCTCACACCTGTAATTCCAGCACTTAGGGAGGCTGAGGCAGGTGGATCACCTGAGGTCAGGAGTTCGAGACCAACCTGCCCAACATGGCTAGACCTCATTTCTACTAAAAATACAAAAATTAGCTGGGTGTGGCTCACATCTGTAATCCCAGCTACTCAGAAGGCTGAAGCAGGAGAATCACTTGAACCCAGGAGGCGGAGGCTGCAGTGAGCTGAGATGGTGTCACTGCACTCCATCTCAAAAAACAAAACAAAACAAAACAAAAACAAAAAACAAAAAAGAAAATTAAAAAATGTCAAAGTAGATCACATCATTCCATGAAGTTAGAAGTAAAGAAATGGAGAAAGTACACGCAGAATCGTTTTTCCATTGGTTTTAGGATTATAACCAGCAAAAACTCAACTAATGTTTGGTTATATGATTTTATATTCCCATTTTAGGAAAACAAAACTGTCAAGTGGGCTTCTAGGTGGGATTAGATTTTGGAGTCTGTGTCTCATACTAATATTCAGTGGTTTAGGTAAGTACTTAATGTAGCAAAAAGTAAGTAATTTTGAGGTAGAAATGTAAATACATATATTTAAATTAACGTATTTTGTTATCACAGATGATCTTGGGTTACATCTTTTTCCTTCTCTGTGACTGTAGTTTCCTCTCTCCTCTTCTCCCTTCCACTCCCCACATACACAGTGAAAAAAAAGATAAATGTGTTTTAAATATGTTAATGTTTATGCTGAAGGGAAAGAGCAACCTGAAATGTCATGGAGATACTATGTCTGCATGGAATGAATATTGGGGTGGGGAGTCAGTGAGATATGACTGTGGAAGTTGACACTGTGCAAGAGATGAAAAATAAAACGGAATGGAAGCTTTTGTTTGTGGGTTCAAAAAGTTCAGGCACAGTAGAGAGTTAGGAAAAATAGTAACCAGCTGGAGTAGAGGAAGGTAGGGATGTCATAAAAATCTGGGAAGGGGTGAGAAAAGGGTGAAAGGATTTCTTATGACAAACCCACAACTTCAAGTGGCTGTGTAATCAAGGCAGATCATATAGAGGAGAGGATGGTATGGAAATGATGTCTGCTAGTGAAGGACCATTTACTCTTTTTAGTCCCTATTGTGATGCTGTGGTAGGCTCTGAGCTCAACAGTGAATAAGGCAGAGGAGGCTTCTGCTTGCCTGAAGGTACATTCTAGTGGACCCAGAGTGAAAGGACTTGATTCCTCAGGAATCTTCAACAGGATGAAACTACAGAGTTAGAAGTCCGTGACTATGGAAAGAGTCGTTTCACATGGGATGGACTCACTGAGGGATGGACCAACTGATAACATAATTAATGATTTGGGCTGTGATAAAGTGCTGAGAGTGGGAGTAGGATGTGAAGTTAGTAACTTAAGAGACTGAAAGAGAAGCTGATCAAAAAGAAATTAATTTGTCTGTATAGTATTTTATTCCTTGTTGTCTTTATATCCTGTAATAAAGCAATTATGGGTCAAAGGAGATTACAAAAGTAAAAATGAAAGTAAGGGCCCAGTGTGGTGGCTCGCACCTGTAATCCCAGGGCGTTGGGAGGCCGAGGTGGGAGAATCACTTAAGGTCAGTAGTTCAAGACTAGCCTGCGCGACATGGAGAGACCCTGTCTCTAAAAATAAAATAAAAATTAAAAATTAAAAAAGTGAAAGTAAGGAAAGTTGTGATACTATGAGCATGGTCTTCTGGAATGATGATTCTCCTTATACTCCCACTGACTTTAAAATGAAAATACCCTTCCTCTCCTTTCCTTATTCCTATTATTCCTCCTTCTCCTCCTCCTCCTCCTCTTTATCCTCTTGCTTCTTCCTATGGTAGCTTTTCCAGAGAGGCTTTCGTTTGGGCAACAGTTCCAATCCCATTTTGTCACCACCCAGAAATCTCCTCAGATACAATTTATTTAAATGGTTTCTCCAAAGGGGTTGTGAAAGTGAAGGCCCTCTAGATGGATTATGAGGGCTAATTTCTAGTAGTAGTAATGTAACAACAAATGTACTATATTTTAGTTTCTGTCATGACTTAATTTACTTACAACATTTAACAGACATTTAGACGTCAGTCTTCTTATTGGCATCTCACTAAAACAGTGCTGGACTTTGCATAGATTCTGGTGGAACGTTTTTGGGTGTGTATGGGCTTGGCTGGGGAGATGGAATGGCAGAAGGCATTGACTTTGCTTTGGGGATAGTTTTTAAGTTTGAGTTTTAGAAACAGGAAGAGCTGGTAGATATAGATAAGTGGTCCTTGGGATCTTTGCCCTGACGCTCATAGAGTAATAGAGTTAAAGACTATGGCCTTGATCCATTGGCTAAGAAGCCAGTCAGCCATTAGTTCAACCTGTGTCTCCTGAACTTAGGTTGTCAGTTCCATGCTCCCAAACTAAGTTTGTGTTACAGATCTTATTTACTTCTTCTTATTTCTCTTTGAGAAGGTACTCTTAAAGTTTTCTAAAAATAACCTTAAGAATAGTGTTGCTTTAAGTTCACTTAATATATTGATGCATTCAGTCACTGATCGAAATTTAACGTTAGAAAACTGATTGACATAATGATAATTTGAATATCTTTCTTTTATATGTACATGCATTTTTTCTCAGTGCTCAATTAGGAAATTTTGAGATTTAACTTCTCTTTTTTTCTTTCTTAAATTTTCTACTGTGGTAAATTCCTTTGTTGTTATTCTTTTCTTATCTGGAACGGTGGCTAACATCATATTAAGGATTTTCCATAAAGATATTATCAGATATAATAAGATGAATTCTCCCATAAGTAAAAATGCATATATTTGATTCAACAAATACTTAAGTGCCTATTCTGCCCGGTTTTCATCAATGTTATATTTCTACTTAGAGTATTGCACCTTGAATACAGCACATTTTTTATGCCTAGTGATTTTGTATGTTATACCAAATCAGAAAGTACAGAGTTGAGTAAGTTTTTTTAAAAGAACAGGGAGATTTATTAGAGAGTTGTTTATTATCAACTTTTTGGTTATATCCTTTTTTATGTGTTTCTGAACTCTCAAAATATCATTATTAAAGATTTTCATTGATTGGAAGTATGAGATAACAATATCAAACATTGCAAAATACTATACTTTAGGTTATACTGTTTATACTGTTTTGACTCTTGTGACCACTTGTGTATCGGTCAATTTTTAATTGCTATTACATTGGTCAAGTTCCTTATGTAGGTTAAATCATTTTGCTTTCTTCATGAAAAGCAAATCAGTTGTGTGTTTTATGTAATTAACACACTCCCTCGGATGCAAAACTTCGAGTAAGGCAGTGATTCATTTGTGTGGCAGGATCATGTACCTTCCAGAGACCTGCTAAATTCATAATGAGCCACTGATTTCTGGTTAGTCTGCCTTTAAAGGAAAATTCCGTTTCAACTAGTTACTTTCTGTCATAGTAACTTGTATGCTTATTAGAGACTTTCTTATGTGTAGGAGGGTGCTCAGTAGGGGCTTGGCTGGAAGATGATTCATGCAGTTGTTTTCAGGCCCCCAAAGAACACAATGTTGCTGTCAGCCTTCCTGGGTCAAGGAACACAAGTTTTGTTTATGACCTTTATTACTTTAAATGAGTACACTCAGATATGTCAAACATGCATAGTAAGCTGCCGGCATATGTTAAACTTTGATTCCTTTGTACAAAGGGACTTGGAAAATTATACCCCAAAGTTTATGGAAATCTGCATTTTATAGTATTCACATTTCTGTCTTCTCAAATTAAGAATATGAGTCTAAGTATCTTCCTATATCAAGCACCTTCCATAGCTTCTTTAGTTTTGAATAGTTTATTGTAAACTCCAATACGTATATTTCTTGCTTTGCAAAATAAATGCATTCTTAAAATCAGTATGTGAGTAGAATCATATTTTAAGTGGGCTAAGGGAGTTCATGATTCAAAAGCTAGCATTTTGAAATGCTACAGCAAGCCTAAATGCTGGTCTTTAAGTGTATAAATGGAATGGCATCTGTAGTGGGCTCACAATGGCTGATGAACCCTAGGGCCTTCATTTATAAACTAAAAATGGAGCTTGTCAGTTTTTGATAGCCAGAGTAGTGATTTTCGTAAACAAAGCTGCTGTAAAAAATGGCTCATTAGGTGTTTCAGATGTCAATGATAATTTCAAAAATCAGCTTTTAGGGTTATATTTTCCTGAGACCAAGTCTCACTTTGATTTTTTTCATTCCTCACCTTGAATAAAAGGAAACAGAAGGAAATTTCTTTGGGAAAAAAAGACTTGCTGTTTTTGGAGTGACTACTGAAGTGGGAAAGGGGGAGATATTTTGTGTAATTTTGATTTAGGCAGTGAAATTAAGGCTAATTCAACTTATGAAAACTTACTTCCACTTACCTTGAATGGAAAATCAGACCTTTTCATTAAGAGAAAGTGTCAAGTATTTAGCCAAGCAAATAACATTTGCTTGTAGCATCCCTTGCTTGTAGTACTCCCATTAGATAATTTCCCTGTGTGCTGTTTCATATAATGTCTTAATAAGGTTGTGCTTAATTTCTTATAAAGTCCTATGTACTTTTGAGACTATTATTGTTGCTGGTTTTCTATTTCATTTTTGTGCCTTTAGGTCTGTCCTGCCTTGGTTTTCCTTCTCCTGCCAATGGAGGAGCTTTAATGGCCTGTGCCACTGTGTTATGGGTCCTTCTGGGAACCCCTGCTAGATATGTGTCTGCTATAATGTATAAGAGTAAGCATTTCAACTGTTATTATTCCAGGAAGTTGCTGTGTTAAATGTAGAAATTAAAAGGCTGTAAAGTAAAAAAAAAAAAAAAAAAATGCGTGGGGGAATTTTAGCCGACCTATGAAAATGTAATTGTGCCTTAATTACTCTAAAGTATTTGTAAAGTGGACTAAATCAAGTTGCTAAAGTAACTGTTCTGTTTTTTACTTCCTCGGCATTTAAAGGTGTTAAGTGGAAGACAAATGCCTTGCTGACAGCACTATTATGTCCGGGGTTAGTATCTCACATTCTCTTTTCCCTATGCAATTATATGCTTCCTTATACTTCATCTTGGAAAAAAAAATCATTGTATACTATAACAAAGAGTAGGAGGGACATGAATGACCACTGTGCTTTGTGTAGTCGCAGCATTCACTTTCTGTTGTATCTGCATTCTTTCTTTCTTTTTTTTTTTTTTTGGACATCTTAAGCTTTAGTACAAAGAGATGGTGATGGTGGTGCAGTATTCAATTTTTTTTTTGAGACAGGGTGTCACTCTGTCACCCAGGCTGGAGTGCAGTGGCACAATCTCGGTTCACTGCAACCTCTGCCTCCCAGTCTCAAGTGATCCTCCCACCTCGGCCTCCCTAGTAGCTGGGACTAGAGGTGGGCACCATCATGCCCAACTAACTTTTATATTTTTAGTAGAGATGCGGTTTCGCCATGTTGGCCAGGCTGATCTTGAACTCTTGACCTCAGGTGATTCACTTGCTTTGGCCTCCCAAAGTGCTGGGATTACAGGCATGAGACACCACTCCCGGCCAGTATTCAATTTTGATCTTTGTTTTTGAAGCAGAGTTCATAAATGTTTATCTCAGTTATACATTTTGCATTCTGTCATGCTAGAGTTGCAATTTATGCACGACATTTTGTTATTCTCCTTGTTGCTGCCTTCAGTGATTATTTCTTCCTGTCTCACCTAGTCACTGCAGCATCGTTAGTGACTGCAGTTTCAAGGTACAGTCATAGTCAAAGTGAGGGTGGGAGTGATGCTGTGCAGTGGCTGTCAGAGTAGCTTATCCAGTCCTGTAATTATATAGATGCAGAATCTGTAGCCAAACTACAAAGTAAAGACCAAGTTGTTCTGGGTCTCACATGAAGTCAGTAAAAGGGCCAGGCTGTATATACCTCAGTGTCCCCTCTCCTGCATCCTATCTATTTCTCTTCCTGCAGTACTTCACTGATAAAGTGCTGAATTGCTTAGGGTTTTGTCTCCAAATTCCTTGATATGTTTCTGTCGTAGTCAGCTTGGACTGCCGTAACAAAACACCATAGACGGAGTGGCTTAAAAACAGGTGCTAGCGTAGTTGGCTTCTGGTCAGAGCTCTCTTCTTGGCTTGCAGATGGTTGCCTTTATCCCTGTGTCCTCACATGGCAGGGCAGGGGAGAGAGAGAGAGAGAGATTGATAGACAGAGAGAGAGACTGATACACACACACACACACACACACACACACACACAGAGAGAGAGAGAGAGAGAGAGAGTGCTGTCTCTACTTTTATTTTTTTTTTTTGAGACGGAGTCTCGCTCTGTTGCCCAGGCTGGAGTGCGGTGGTGTAATCTCGGCTCACTGCAAGCTCCGCCTCCTGGGTTCACACCATTCTCCTCCCTCAGCCTCCTGAGTAGCTGGGTCTACAGGCACCTGCCACCATGCCCGGCTAATTTTTTGTATTTTTAGTAGAGACGGGGTTTCACCGTGTTAGCCAAGATGGTCTCGATCTCCTGACCTCATGATCCGCCCACCTTGGCCTCCCAAAGTGCTGGGATTACAGGCGTGAGCCACCGCGCCCGGCCACTGTCTCTACTTATAAGGGTACTATCCCATCATAGGGACCTACTTAGGTCTGAAAAGCCCTGTCTCCAAATATCATCACATTGGAGGTTAGGGCTTCAACATATGAATTTGGGGGGTGGGATATGCACAACTCATTCCCATATCATGTTTCATTCATTCATAGAAAGAAAAAAATTCTCTCCTTGGCATGTTCTGAAGGACAGTCTTTTTGTTTTGTTTTTAAGGAAGTACCAATGAATTATATCTTAATTGTTATGTGGTACTTAACTTACTATTTGTAACAAAATTTCCACGTTCTTAACACTGGAAGTGTATCATCATAGGAAAACAGATCCTACACTAAAAGTTTTACAGAGTAAATTCAGTTACATGTGTGTGATATACTGATTGAGTATATCATGTCCAAAATGGGTATATCAGTGACAAAATGAGAGTAGATGAATTCATAATGCTCTGTAACTGAGTATAATGCCATCGATGATGCAATTCAGTGATATATTCAGTAGACTGATAATATTTTATCTACATATGGCTTATTATCCCTAAACTCCATGGAAATAAATAAGGTCATTGAAAGATGAGTAAGCTTATGTACAGAAAGAAAAAACAGGTCATTGATATAATTGAACATTACAAACTTGCACATTAAATACATGTACCTCAGAATTTTTTTTTTTTTCTTTGAGACAGAGTCTCACTGTCACCCAGGCTGAAGGGCAGTGGCCCAACCATGGCTCACTGCAGCCTCGACCTGCTGGGCTCAAGCGATCCTCCCATCTCAACCTTCCAAGTAGCTGAGACTACAGGTATGCACCACCATGCCTGGCTAATTTTTTAAGTTTTTGTAGAGAAAATGTCTTGCAGTGTTGCCCAGGCTGGTCTTAAACTCCTGGCCTCAAGCGCTCCTCCTGCCTTGGCCTTCCAAAATATTGGGATTACAGGCATGAGACCACCATGCCTGGCCAGAATTTTTTTTTAAATTATACTTTTGACTTACTTAAAATGAGCCTAATGCACCCCCCACCCCCAATCTTGTAGAGCCATCTGCTTTTTCTATAACTTTTCAAGGGAATTAGAATGGGTGGTCTTTCCTGAGGTGATTTTTTTTTTTTTTTTTTTTTTTTTTTGAGACGGAGTCTTGCTGTGTCGCTCAGGCTGGAGTGCAATGGCGCAATCTCGACTCACTGCAACCTTTGCCTCCCAGGTTCAAGTGATTCTTCTGCCTCAACCTCCTGCCCGAGTAGCTGAGATTACAGGCATGTGCCACCGCGCCAGGCTAATTTTTGTATTTTTAGTAGAGGCGGGGTTTTACCATGTTGGCCAGGCTGGTCTTGAACTCCTGACCTCAGGTGATCCACTCGCCTCAGCCTCCCAAAGTGCTGGGATTACAGGCGTGAGCCACTGCACCTGGCCAAGGTGAACTTTTTAATATATTTTTGTAAGTAACTGATGTCCTTGACATTTTTTTGAACATTTATTGCTTCAAATTCAAGACTCAGATGAATCCATAACTGAATACGTTTGATAACAAAAGTGTCATTGTGCAAAAGTCATTATACTGGATTGTAATACAAGGAATATCACATGTAAGAATCAATCAGTAAACCATCTACTACTCTCTGCATTATTTACTCAACATCCTTATTGTGGGTTTTGCAGTTTTGTTTTTACTTATTGAAAGCACAATGCAAGGCACTGTGGAGGAAAGAAGTATAAATTGCTCCTGAAACTTTGCTTTCAAATAATTTATAATCTAGTGGGTTGTTGGGGCAGGAACAGGAGATAAGACATGTAAAGTATTAATAATTCTATCTCATAGTAATTAGGAAGAGTTATCAGACAGTATGTTTAAAATGATGTGGAGTTTCAGAGGAGGAAAAGGTAATTTCCACTTTGGGGCTCCTGGGAAGGCTTTGTAGAGGTAATGATACTTAATTTATGATTTGAAAGATACTTAGAACTGGGCCGCTTCTGTGCTTGATTCTGTTCCCTTCCATTTCTTTCTTTCACAGCTTTGTTCAATTCATTACTGCTCCTTTCTTGCATATCTACTTTATCTCTCCACTGAGGCCCCTTTTTTCTGCTTATAAATATATTCTGCTCTTCCCTTTCTACCCCTTGGGCCCACCACTAACGCTTTTTAGAATTTTTTTGTAAATTTAAAAATAATTATATATTTTATTCCTGAGATAATGTTGCAGTTATCACATAATGCAAAGAACCACATGCAGGCATGCTATTTAAATATATATTTGTTTCAAAAATTCATTCTTTTTGGTGTACAATGCTTTGAGTTTTGACAAATGCATAGAGTTGTGGAAGCACTACCACAATGTGAATGCAGAAAGATTCCATCAGTCTAATACTTCCCTCATGCTATCCCTTTGTAGTCAACCCCTTCCCTGACCTGAAACCCTGGTAGCCATGGATCTGTTCTCGACCCCTGGAGTTTTGCCTTTTTCAGTATGTCATATAAATAAGCCATAGAGTGAGTCAAATAGAGCCCTTTGGATCTGGTTTATTTCACTTCTTACTTTTTATTATTGAGTAGTATTCCATTGTATGGGATGTGCCATAGTTTATATATTCAGCAGATGAAGAACATTTAGGTTATTTCCAGTTTTTGGTGGTTATGAATAAATGTTGCCGTAACTGCTGTAAAACATTCATAAAATAGGTTGTTATGTGAACATAAGTTTTCATTTCTCTTGGGTAAATACTTAGGAATGGAATTGCTAGGTCATATGAAAAGTATGTTTAACTTTATAAGAAGCTGCCTAGGCCAAATGTGGTGGCTCACGCCTGTAATCCTAGCACTTTGGGAGGCCGAGGCAGGTGAATCACCTGAGGTCAGGAGTTCGAGACCAGCCTGGCCAACATGGTGAAACCCCATCTCTACTAAAAATACAAAAACTAGCTGGGTGTGGTGGCTCATGCCTGTAATCCCAGCTACGTGGGAGGCCGTGGCAGGAGAATCGCTTGAATCCAAGAGGTGGAGGTTGCAGTGAACTGAGATTGTGTCACGGAACTCCAGCCTGGGTGACAAGAGTGAAACTCCATCTAAAAAAAAGAAAAGAAAGAAAGAAAGAAAAAGGGAAGGAAGGAAGGAAGGAAGGAAGGAAGGAAGGAAGGAAGGAAAGAAACTGTCCAATTATTTTTCAAAGTGGTTGTTACCATTTTACATTTCTACCAGCAATGTATGAGAATGCTAGTTTGTTCACATCATTGTCAGCACTTGGTATTGTCAGTTTTCTTTATCTTTTACTCATTTGAATAGGTGTGTACTGGTATTTCATTGTGGTTTGAATTTGTATTTCTATAATGACTAATGATGTTTAACATCTTTGCATGTTTTTATTTGTCTGTTCAGATCTTTTGCTTGGTTTTTAATTGGGTAGTTTGTTTTCTTATTGTTGAGTTTTGAGAGTTCTTTATATAT